CGTCTGCAGGGGCCTCATAGCGGGGGGAGCAGTCACAAACACCCCCAGCCAACCTTCCATGTCTAGCTGGAGGTGGGGCCCAGCCTCTCGTCTTCTCCCCACCCAGAAGCTCTCTGTTGCCCAGTTGCTAGAACCATCACTGGCTCCCTGCTTTTTTTTTTTTTTTTTTTGATTGATTGATTTTTTGATTTGATGGATTTGAGAATCAATCTGAGCTCCTGAGCTTGCGTGAAGGGGCTCCAGGTCTGTCTTCGCCAGAGGGAAGCCGAGAGAGGTACAGACAGAGTGACTTCTGGGGGGGACTGTGCTGATCGCCCCATGACAATAATAGCAACAAAAAATAAATAAAACTAAAATTAATAGCTCACACTAGCACTAGCGCACACCGTACTAGTGCTGTTCTAAGCACTTTACACAGAATAATTCACAGCAAGGTATGGACTATTTTATCTCCATTCTGTGGGTGGGAAAACAGTTCCAAGAAGTGACATTATTTGCTCAAGATCAAACAGAATAGAGTGTAAGTGGCCTAGCTGGGATTGGAACACAGATAGTCAGGTGAACTCCTACTCATCCCTCAGAGTCCCAGCCCCAATACCCCCTCCACATTCTTAATCACGGTACCACATGGCCTCTCTAATAGCAACAATAATAACATTAATGCCCCCACTACACAGGCTATTGCGGCTATTACGTTTACGTAGTGTCAAGTACTGTGCTAATTTTGCTTTCCACAGGTTTAATGGTCCCCACAGTCCCTGGAAAAGATGTCGTTTCCCCCACACAGCTGGTTGAGCATCTGACTCCTGATTTCGGCTCAGGCTCTGCACTCAGCGGGGACTCTGCTAGAATCTCTGCCTCTCCTCCTGTCCCTCCTCCCCGACTCGTCCCCATGAACGCACTCTCTCTCTCTCTCTCTCTAAATATAAATAAAATCTTTAAAAAAAATAAAGAAAAGAAAAGACAAGGAAAAGAAAAGAAAAAAAGTGCCAAACTGAGGTTGAACCTGGGTCTCACTCCAAACGTGTCCTCTCAAATGCCTCCACAGTCCCTGGGTCCCAGTGGCCAGGGCCATGGGGAGGGGGCGGCGAGCAGCGGGAGGGCACCATAGGTCCTGCCATCTGGGAGAAAGGGGGGGCTGATATCCATGGAAATAAGAGGTTTTCTCGAAGACCCGTAGCAGAGCAGAGCCAGCAAGTAAATAAAGTGTCCACGTGGCAGCAAGCCCCGTGTGCCAGGCTGAGTTTTGCCCCCAGCACACCAGATCAACACTTACTGAGTGCCTACTGTGCGCTGGGCCAGGCAGGGAACCAAGGCTAACCTGGGCCTCACCCCCGCCCAGCCCCCCGTCCAATCAGGGAGGTGGAGAAGAAAGAAGACATGAATAAGGTAGTTTAGATGTTGGCAGTAGGTAACAAAACAGAACACAGGGAAGTCATAGTGACTGGGGGGGACTTTTGGGGTGAAAGGTCAGGGGGGCTTCTTAGAGGAGGCCGCCTTGCAGCTGAGACCAAGTGAAGATTGGGAGAGAGTGTTCTAGGTGGAGGGAGCTGCAGGAGCAAATGGATTTTGGGGTCAGTGGGGGGAGATGAGGTAGTGGAGAGAGAGGGCCATGTGACCTGCATGGTCAGCTCTCCAATTCCCCACCACCACCACCACCACCGGTGCCTGGAATTCTCCTCCTGAACCTGCTGCCACATGGAGCCTGTTCTCAGGGAGACTGGGCTGGGGAGTGTGGGGGGGGCGGGCAGGGCTACCAGCTTTTCTGGCCCAGCCCTCCTCGGCTGCCTGTAAAGTTCTCATCTTGACCGGAGCAGGCTGGTCTACTGAGCCAGGCTGGCCTGGGGCTGGCCTTGCAGGCATCTGGGGCGGGCAGGAGGGGGCTCCCTGGGGGGGTGGATAACAGGATCAGCCTAATTAAGCCTGGCATGGGTGAGCAGCTGGTGTGGGGCCAGCGGGTAGCACAAGAGACTTGGGTCCTCTGGGAGTAGCCAGGAGGACACCGCGCAAAGCTGGCCATCGGACAGAGGGGGAACAGAGGCACAGAACTTGGGCCTGACTCAAACCCTACCATTGGTTTCCTGGGAACCAGGGGACCCGAGTCATCTCTTCTACCTCCCCAAGTGCAAATTCTGCACTTGGTCCCCAACGCATTGAGCTTTTTAGGCACGCTCTCTCTGGTGTCAGTCCCCCCAACTGGGAAGTGAGACCACCTACTGCAAACAGGAGCCCCTTGTCTGATTTCTTCCAGGACCGACCTGAAGCCTGGTTTCACTGGGATTTGAAGAGAAGATCTTTCCTCTCCTGAATACCTTTGCTGAAGTGCCCCATTCTCCCCTCAGGCTTCCTTTGTAGCTGTTACCTCCCCTGAAAGTAACCTCGCCTGAAAATAACCTCCCACAATTATTTGTTGGTCAGTAAATGGTGTGGCCGTTGGGGTCAGGGCTCCTGGGCCTTGTCCTCCAAGGAAGACAGACTTGGACCCAGGGTGGGGCCCCGTGTGGGGAACAAAGGGTCTACATCAGGGTAGTCGGGTCGGAGGAGACTTCCTGGAGGAGGGGATTGGGGATGGGGCCGTGAAGGATGAGTAGGAGTTTCTAAGTAGGAAATGAGAAGTCATTCCAGGTAGCAGGAACTGCACATGCAAAGATCTGGCTGGCTGGCTTGGAAACCTCTCTTCCACTCCCTCACCCACCCCCAGGTGTGTCAAGCTCCAGGCCCGTCTTATCCTGTGCTTTGTCCTAGCACAGAGCTTGGCACACAGTAGCTTGATGCTTAGAAAATATATGGGGCAAGAAGGAAAGATCCCTCCGGCTCACCCAGTCTCAGTTTCCTCAGCTGCAAACTGGGGAGAACCAGCCTCCTGCCACGCCTGCCCGATGCTTACTTGGTGCTCACTAAGCAGAGGGAAAACCCCATCTGCCCCTCCTCTATCTCCCCATGTGGGCCTCGCCCCAGAGGCCCAGACTCCTCTGTCCTACCTTGGGGACCAGGAAAGATGTAGCTGCAGAGGAATTTACAGTCTCAGCAAAGAAGGCTGGGCCCAGTGGTGCCAGAGGCATTAAAGACCCATTCCTCTCTGCTCTGTGTTTCCAGCCCTAACTTCGAGGAATCTGGCCCTGTATGCCCCAGCCCCGTTTTTCCTGGGCCAACCTCTCAGAACGGTCTCTCCCTCCCATACTCATCCAGAGACTGGATTTTCCAAAACCAGTCGTGTTTTTACCTGCCTCCAGATCTCTGAATGTGCAGTTCCTGCTACCTGGAATGCCCTTTCTTTTCCCACTTAGAAAACTCCTGTTCATCCTTCACAGCCCCAGCCCCAATGCCCCTCCTCCAGGAAGTCTCCCTTGGTCGTCTTACCCTGAGGTAGACCCTCTGCTCCTCACTCTGGGCTCCACTCTGGGCTCCACTCTGGGCTCCACCCTGGGTCTAAGTCTGTCTTCCCTGAAGGACAAGAACCATGAGCCTGGACACCAGCAGTCAGCCGCACCGTCACCATCCAGCAAACATTCATGGGAACAATCTCTCGATTGTGTCCTTGTGCCAGGCTGCAAACTCGTTCCTTCTCCTGCCCAGATGCTTGAAAGCTATATCCTCTGCTTGTTTCCCAGAAAACTGAGGTCTGAAACCTGAGGGATAGTCCCAATGGTGGAATTTCAGCCACGTGCCCTGCCACTGGGGGGATGCTGCTCTCTTCCCTGCATGGCTAGAACTAGCTCTTTGCAGCTCACCACTAGGAGTAGTCTACAAGGCCCAGGGGTGGCTTCGGAACCCTGAACTTCAGAAGTCCTTGGATGAAGGGAATGGGGAGGGGTGTCCAAAGGGCCCCAAGGCAAGGGGGCTGGTGGCGGGGGGTAGGGGAGACTGGCAAAGCTAGAAGTCTTCCCTCCACTGACATCCGCCTAGACCAGTCACGCCCCACTGGGGCTTCCTCAGCCTGGGGCACTTGAAGACAGACAAAGAGTGTCATGGAACACACAGAGAAGGATTGAGCAGAGAGAGGGCAGGGCAGGCAGGCAGGAGTGAGGAAAGTCAGGGGTCTGGCCTCCAGCAACCCCCCCCTCCCAGGACCATGGCCATGCTCCCCAGATCTGGGTTAGGGTCCCAGACTTGCAGGTAACCACAAGCCCAGAGCCCAGCCAGTGACACCATGATATATACAGTTACTTCATGGGGGAAGGAGTAGTGGTGCCACCAAGTCCTGGGAGTGGCCGTTTCTCTCTCCAATCCCACCCCAAATCTGCCCCCGTCTGTATCCACCGCTGCCTAATGACTCCTAACCCACACGCTGCACCTTCTGGGGGAATTCCGAGACTATCCCGAGCAAGAGATGCCTTTTTTTAAAAGCAGGAGGCACAGCCCCCCTCTCCTTCAAATACACTCTTCGCCCTTAAGGGACTACCCTCCCCCCAAAAAGGGTTTCGCGCCCTCTTGTGGCTGAACAGGCGGCTCCCAGAGCCGAGAGAGCCGGGCCCTTACCGGAGGACACCGTGTCCCCGGAGGCGGCGGCGGCTGGAACGCGCTACTGACAGATGTTTACTTCTGCGCGCAGCTGGGCCGCGACGGCAGCTCCCCGGCTGGGGTCTGCGGATCCGAATGACCCCCACAGGCCCTTGTACACCACAAGGCAGCGCGTGTGTCTGGGTCTCGCCCTCCTGGAGGCTGGGGAGGGGATTCCGGCTGCCCCTGCTTCCACCCGGTTCAGACGCACACTTGGGGGGTCCAAGGAGGCAGAGGCGCGCCCGCCCCGTCGGACAAGGACCCTGGCTAGATCCTGGCTTGGAGAGGCGCTGAAGATCGCCCTGCCCACCTCTGCCCCCCCTGCCATGCGTGGACCTGTCGCCCCCTAGACCACACCTTCATACACATGCCGGTTCTTGGCTAGAGGAGGGAAGCTACCGGTCTATCCGGAGCCCCTGGTAGCCCCCAGACTCCTGTCCACGGGGCCGGTCCTCCCCCAGCGCCGGTCCCCTACGGGTCCCCAGCCTGCCCTTGCTTACCTGCTCGGGGTGCCCGACTACCCGTCAGTGGTGGCCGCGCCTGCCGCCCGCGCCGGCCCCAGCCCCTGCCCCTGCCGCCGCGACCGCCATCCGGGCCGCCTGGGCCCGCGGCGCTCGGGGGGGCCCGGGCCGGAGGGGGCGGCCGCGGGGGGGACGCGGCGCAGGCCGGCCCATGGGGCCCCCCCGGGCTCGATCAGCCGCGGGCTGCGGCCAACCCGGCCGGGCTGGGGTTGGGGCTGGGGGCGCCCTGGACGGCCGGCGGCTCGGAGGGCGCGGAGCGCGGGGGCGCACGGACGGCGCGGGCGGCCTGGGCGCGCGGCGCTGGGCTCCGGGGCTGCTGCGCGAGGGGCCCGGGCTTTCGGAGCGGCTCCACCGCGCGCTCTCCCGCCGCCTCCGCCGCTCCCGCCGCGGACGGCTTGGCCGTCTCCGGGCGGGGGGCGGGGCGGGGGGCGGGGCCAGGGGCGGTGGCTCGGGTTTCCCGGGACCGGAGCCGCCCCTGCCCAAGGCGGGGGCCGGAGGAGCGCAGGTGGCTGGGGTGCAGGGGCCACAGCGCCCCCTCTAGAAGGTGATCTCCCCGGGCCCCCGGCGGCGCCCCTTTAGGAAAGCCAGCTCCCCAAGACGCCCCCACCCCCAAGGGCTCCCTTCTGGGATAAGAGGCACAGCGCCCCCGACGCCAGTATCCGCGGCCTTGAGCGCCCCACGCTCTAGTGAGGATCTGGTTTTACCGCCAGACTCCTGGGTCCTGCCTGGTCCCCTTTCGGAAAGCAGGGTCCCAGGAAGTACCCTCACCAAGGAAGCCCCTCAAAGGAACCCCGAGCAGCGCCCCGCTAACTAGCTGTTTCCCACCCTTACTCCAGAGACCCGGACAGCGCATCTTCCAAAAGTCTGGGTCCCCGAGAAGCCCCTCCCCCAGATTCTCCTCAGGGGAATTAAGAGCTCCAGCACTACCCCAGACTGCGGTTACAGCGGCTACAGTCTCCTCTTACCCCGCTGAAGATTGTGCGGTCTTCCTAGTCCTGCCCCAGGTCCTCTTTTTAGGAAGCTAAAGAAGCCCCCGGTGACAAAGCCATTCTAGAGAACTGCGACTCTAAGTTTTTTCCTAAGTGATACCCTGAGACTGATGATACCCGCTGCCCAAAGAGCCCCTCACTAAGGGGCAGTTCTCCCCAGTCTGGCCTCAGAGCCCTGCGGAGGATCCCATCCCCGGCTCTCCACCGCGCTCTCTGAGTACCAAGACCCGGTGTTTCCCCTCCCGCCGGCGCGCCCAAACCCACCGGGCCCCCTCCCCGACGACTCCGCGTTCCTAAAGCGCCCCCTGGCGGCCCCAGCCAAACGCGGGGTGGGTGGAGTGGGCGGGGCTGGAACCGCCGTGGCCCCGCCCCACCGCGGCCTAGTCACCGAAAAACACCCTCCCTACAACCCCGCCCTCGGCCTCCGCAACCGGCTTTTTCCCGCGCGCCGCCTGCGTTCCTGGGGCCCGTGCTCTGGTTTCTCTCTACTGCCTCCTGATTTCTTGGGGCCTCCTCGCTCCCGCACAGGCCGCCTGCCTTCCTCTGATCCCAGCCGCCTTGACCTTCCTAGGACCAGCGTCCCGTCTCCACGCCCTCAACGCGCGTACACACACACACACACCCCCAAGGGGCCTGTACAACTTGCACGACAACGCAGTGTAGGCGGTGATAGGAGACACTCAGGCAGTCTCACTCCCTGTACTCAGGCTCATGCGGGTGGGGGGACGTCGGGGTCTGTGCACAGCCCCTAGGAAGGAGACCGCCAGGACGTGAGCTTGTGGGTAGGGTGGGGGCATAAGGACAAGCAGGTGTCAGAGAAGCGGCGGCGTCGGAGCTGCCTGGTCCTGGTCCAGGATGGGAAGGGCAGGTGTCTGCTCTGTGCGGCCTTGGGCCCATCCTTCTTGAATGTGCCTCAGTTTCCCCATCTGTAACCGGGTATTATGAGTAGATTCTAATAGGGTTGTGGTAGAGATTGAGTAAGTAAATAGGAGTGACCATCCCTGGCTCGTGGTGAGCGAGGCCCACGCCACCAGTGTCTGCCGTTGTTGGTGTCACCACATGCTCCCAGTGACATCCTGGCCGGAAGGGAAGGGTACGGTCCCTGCGGCCATTCACACACAGGCGCCCAAATCTTTGGTCCAGGCAGGTTCCAGCCAGCGCCATCCTTATTCTCACACACACGGGGGCACACGGATGCCCAGCAGCATCCCTAACACACACAGAGCGGTCACAACGACCCACGTCCTTGCCAAGGACAGGCATGGGCGCGCGCACACACACACGCACACACGCACACAGAGCATATTCACACAGGAGCCCACCGGCCCTCCAAGCAGCCCCTTGGTTGCTCGTGTCCGCTCACGCACACGCGGTGGCTCGCCCTGCGCTCCCTCGCCGCCTGGTGCCAATTTGCGCAGTTAATACACACACCGTGCGGCCCACTCTACACCCACTGCCGGGACACACTGCCGGGACACACAGCCACGCGGAGACAGCTCACGTCCCTGCCGTGTGCACACACACGGCCCCCACGCAAACGTTCTACATAGTCACTCGTGGCACACACGCCCCCAAGGGTGCAGTACACACCCCACAGCCACCCAAGCGCAGGAGCCTCGGAGACACGATCACACGTGCACACAAGCACGCACACACGTGTGAGGCCAGTCTGGGGGGTACAGCCCTCTGCACACAGGTGGCCCAGCCAGGAGCCCACCCCCACGCACCCAGCCACCATTAAGCGGTCACCAGCCGCCCTTGGCCACCTCCCGCTCACCCCACACTGCCGGTATCCCCCTCCCCACCGTGGCTGGGGCTGTGGGGGTGGGGGCGTGCAGACACATGGGGTTCAGGACACACACATGTGCCCACCATGTGGACGCTCATAAAATGGTTGCCCGGGCAACAGCGACTTGAAAACCCTCAGGGCTTCCTCTGGGGTGGGGGGGGGCACCAGGGTGAGGCTGCGGCCAGGCGACACAGGAGGCTGGAGGTGGGACGCCAGCACACGCCACCACCTCCACCGCGGCCGGAGACCCCATCACTCTCAGGCCCCCGGGAACCCTGTTGTGCTCAGGGCCAGCCCCACGTGGTCACAGGACACACATGTCCATGGCGTCCCGACACCACCACACACTGCTGTGTCACCTCTGGACGCTGTCACCAACCCACAGACTTTGTCACCCCCTGGACAGGCGGTGACAGACACCCTGTCGCACCGGTTGACTCACACAGCAGCTGGGAACTGGGGCGCATGCAGACACGCCCACCCTCTGGCCCCCGCCCCCCTCAAAGGAGCTGTCTGGGCCCGGCTGTCTGGGAGGCCACAGGGATTCAGGGGCTGGTTCTATTTGCAGGAAACACGGGTATTTACAATGCTTTATTTTTAAACCCTCCTTCTCCCAGACTGTGGCTGCTGTGGGGCGGGGGTGGGTGGAACAGAACCTTGAGCCTCCCCTGCTTCTAGAGCAGCCGGAGGGTTGTGCGGGGCTGTGTCTCCCCAGTGCGCAAATAGGCACAGAGAAACTGAGGCTCAGTGTGGAGTAGGGGGCGTCTGTGGGCCACATGGCCACTGTGGCCGATTTGAGCCTGCTGGCCCTGGGGTCAAGGCCAAGGTAGGGGTGGGACAGCGCAGGTGCACCCAGAGCCCAGGCCCTGTCACCTGTCAGCCCTCCATGGTGTTTGCCTGGAAATTAGTTCCGCTCCCTCGCTGCCTCCTCGGATGTGCCCCCACGCCCCCGCCAGGTAGCCCCAGGCAGCGCGCCCGCCCCTGCAGTGCTCTGTGCCCACTTGTCAGCTGTGAAACCTGGGGATCAGAGAGGTCAAGAGGATGGCCCAAGGTCACAGAGTAGGGAAGAGGCTCAAACCAGGGCGGGATGATTCCAGAACATTCGGCCATGGCCCTGGCCCCTCCTTCAGCCCTGACCCCCGAGGCTGGCTCCCCTGCCCTTGCTGCACAGTCACTGCTCCCAAGGGGAGTGCTCTGTTCACTCGTGGAGGCCCAGGCAGAGCTTCTGGGAGGCCAGCGGCCGCTGGCCAAGACATGGACTTGGCCGGTGGAGAAGTTTCCATCTTAGCACCAGGAGCTGGTCCAGGCCCTGCAGGCCCCGGGCTGTACCTCAGGACCCCCAGGAACCAGCACCGCAGTGGGGGAGGTGGCCTGGAGCCCTCTGTGTCTTCTGCCTCTCCTGCACCCGCCCCCAGCATCTCCATATTCAACATTGCCCCACTCCACAATGAGCTGGTCACGGAGATGGCTGGGCCTCTTGGCTCGTTGGTGATGTTGCTCCCACAGCCGTTCTGTGCCCCGTACAGACCCTCAGGGACTAGCAGTGTCGTTCTCTTGCGGAGAAGGGAAAGGGCTTGCCAGGGGTCACTGGGACAGCTCAGGAATGCCAACTGCCAGCCAAGAGTCTCCCCTAAAATGGGCTTCAGTTCTCAATTTAACATCCTGGCCCCAAGCTGGAGGATGCTGAGCAGAGAGAAGCCTCAGCTCCGACAGGAGACCCAGCCCAGGTCAGAGAGAGGGCCCCGGGGGCCAAGAGGAGCTGGTGGCCTCGGCCAGCATAGGGCCCTTGAGGCCTGTGGGCGGCGGGAAGGAGCTGGCCAGTTCCAGGCGAGGGAGGATGGGAAAAGCAGGGCCGGCGGCCGTCCCCATAGGGCCATTTGCAGCCACAGGCCACAGGTCGGGGGCCCTCTCCCTGGGAGCCCTGGGTCAGCAAGGTGGGAAAGCCATCAGGCCAGCCCAAGGGAGTCAGGGCAGCAAGGCAAGCGGCCGGGTGGGGCCTGGGCGGGGGGTTGTGGGCACATGTGGGGCAGGGCAGGGGCTCACGCAGGCACAGCCAGCCACACCCCCCCCACAAAAGCCACAGATGTGTGCACACTGCCACACACACACACATACAACCAACACAGACACACATAAACACGTGCACTCAGAAACACAATTATATTCACAGGCCTCCCCCCAAATCAGACACACTCCCCAGTCACATAGCATAGTAGATGCGCATACACCATCACACGTGCAAAAGCCATAGACACTTACAACACACACACACGCACACGCAGCAGCCCCAGCTGCCAAGGCTCCCGGGTGCCCTGCGGCGCGCCCCCCCCACAGCACCCTGGCTCTTCCCACCCTCCGCCCAACCCTGCTGTCTCCGTCCTTGGCCTGGGCTGCCCTAATCCCTGTCTCGTGTCCTGAAGCCAGGAGATAAGGGGCAGCTGCAGCCCCAGATAAAGGAAGCGCAGCCACAAATCCGGGGTGGCCCCGGCAGAAACGGGCACTGAGCCCGGGCGGCACCTGTCCTGCTGCTGCCACCCCATCCGGCCTGGCTGCCTGGCTGAGAGGGCCAGTGAGGGCAGGGGAGACAGAGACACAGGGAGGGAGCAGGGAGACAGAGAAGAGAGACTCAGAGGGAGAGAGGAAGGCAGAGACCAAAAGAAGCAGAGGCAGAGGGAGAGAGAGAGAGAGGGAGAGTACAGGCAGCGCCTTCCCCAGGCCCTGCCTCCCCCCATCTGAGTGCCTTAGTGTCCCCACTGGCACAGGGTTCCCTGGGCCACCTGCCTCCTTTCTGTTTCTCCGAATCAGTCAAGATAGGGCATTCAGAGGACGACTCAGGCCTGGTTCAGGGTGGGGGGGGCATCTTCCTGAGTGTCCCCACGTTCTCCAGGGTGACACCTGGGAAGTTCTCATCCCCCTGCCACAGCCTCAGTGAAGGCAGGGCCCCCTAGAGCAGGTCCTGGTCCCTCTGGGCCTCAGTCTCCCAGCTGTGGTAAGATGCACTCAGCATTCCTTGGGCACCTGCTGTGGGCGGGGCCTGGTCCTGGGTGCTGGGGACACAGAATGACTGAGGTGGACCAATTCCCACCCTCTATGAGCTCAGTACAGAGGGGAAGATGGCATGTGGCCAGGTAGCACCAGGATGGTAAGGGCCATGATTCCCGGGGGATGTCTGGATGGCTGCCAAGGCTAAAGGGGGCCATATCCCCAGTATGGGGCAATTAAAGAGGCTTCTGGAGGAGGAAGGTGGGGGAGGAAGAGGAGGAGGAGGAGAAGGAGGAAAAGGAGAGAACTAGAGGCTGAGTGGAGATTGGGAGCAGGGAACAGACTTCTTGCAAGAGGGAACAGCACATGCAAAGGCGGAGAGGTACAACTGCCTCATGGAACGTCTGGAATGAACTTGGTATTTGAGTTTAGGGTGTAGGGGGTGATGAGGAATGAAACGGGAAGGCAGCAGAGGCTAGGAACTGTAGGAACTTGGGGGGCATGGTACAGGGTTGGGGCAGTAGGGAGACATGGAAGGATTGGGAGCAGGGGAAAAGCCATGGTCAGATTCGTGCCTGGGAGTCTGGGCTTTGGGGGTAGGATGGAAGATTTAGGCCCAGAAGTTGGTAGGGGGTGTGATGGGAGAGGGGACAGACTAGAGAGAGACTCTGAAGGGCAAGTGGTCAGGACACAGGGACCCACAGGCTGTGGGGAGAGAGGCAGGGTGGGAAGGCTGATGCCCTGGTCTCTGGCTCAGGACGGGTTGGCAGTCCCTGGGCCAGGGACCTCTGAGATCCATGGATTCAGGTGGATTGGGGATGAATGCCTGCTCCCTCTGCACAAAGTCAGAGAGTAGAATAAATAAGTTAATGGAAAGGGCTTAGACAAAATTGGTGCTCAACAATTGTTTAGTTACTGGTAAACAATTGATACTACACCATTATGATAAACAATTAATACTGCATCATTGGTATTAATGTTGTCAGTGGCCAATCCACAGTCATACCCCTTTCCCCCGCTTACAGGAGGCCCTCCTTGATTGCCTCACACAGAAAATACAGGCCATCGCAAGGCAGACCCAGGGAGCCCTTGGAGGCCCAGAGAGGGGAGGCTATGTTCAGACAGCCCTCTGTGGGCCTCAGTTTCCCCTTCTATCCAACTGCCTCCCCGGAGAGGCCTGGGTGCCGTGGGACGGTGGGGGGAGACTCCAGGTGGAACCTCAGAGGGCAATGGGACGGGCAGTCTAGGAGGGAGGAGGGAGCTCGGGCCCCTGGAGGTGGGCAGGCACAGTCGGGCACGAAGTCTCCCAAGACTGGACGCCGCAGGTCCTCCGTTTATCCCCAGATTGTCCTACAGAGGGCAGCCGAGGCCAGCGCTGGGAGCCAGTCCGCTCCCCCGCGAGCTCTCAAGGGCAGGGTGCCGCCTGTTGTCGTCGCGGGGGCTTGCCCGGCGTCTAGGACAGCCTCCCGCACGCAGGCTTTCAACTGTCGATAATGCCCCGCATAAAAGTGGAGTTTAAGCTTTTTTTTTAAAGCCCCCGTTTTAAGGTCCTTCGAATACCCTTGTGGGTGGAACGCAACCGGTCAGGAGAGGCACGGACGGTTTCCGGGACCCGCAAACAGCCCCGCGGTACCAACCTTAGCGGCACCGAGGCTCCACCCCACCCAGGCTCCGCCCCCTTACGTAGGCTCGCGAACAATGGCGTCACTTGGAGCGCCCCGGGCATGCGCGTTTCCCCAGCCCGACGGGAAGACGCTCTCGCGACCCGGAAGGTCTTCCCGCCGCTCTCCAAAGCCGGCGTGAGGGGGGCTGATGGCGGAGGGAGCGGCGGAGGCCTCAGCAGAGAGTGGTGGCGGCGGCAGCGATTCGGGAGCCAGCGCACCGGAACCGGGGGTGGCGCCCATTAAATCTCAGTGAGTCGCCGGGGCCGGAGGAGACCCTCACGAGGCCTTCCCGGCATCTACAGGCGGTGCACGCCGGGTAGCGGGGCAGCGGCCCAGGCGGGAAGCTCGCAGGCTCTTCAGTCTGGGGTGGTTCTGCATCCGCAGGGTCGGAGCGGACAGCGCACGTTGGGGGCTGTCACGTGTGAGAAGGGCACCACAGTGCTTGTAGGGGCGCGCAGGGTTGGAGGCTGGGGCCCGCAGTGCATGCTGGGGACTGTAGTCCGGGCGTGTGGCGGGAGTAGCACTCGTGCACCTGCCGCTAGTCTCAGCTACGGGCAGGGACTTGGGTCTGAAGCGAGGGCCGTGGGGCATGCTGGGGAATGTGGCGACCGTGGCCCTGTTGCAAGGCATGCGGGGACGTGTAGTTTTCTCTAGCCGAAAGTGGTCGGGGATGTTCATGCTGTTTGTAGTTTGGCTGGATACTCTGGGCAGTGGGACCCAGGGACAGAATTTAGGCTCTGCCTGTGGCCTTGAGACGCTCCCGACTGGCAGCTGGCCGCTTCTAAGTGGTGTACTCCCCCACCAGCAGACGCAGCTAAGCAGGGACAGGTGTTCTTGGTTCCTTTCCCCAGGGACCAGACCTGACTCAGTCACTCCCAGACCCCTCTTGCCTCAGACGTGGGCTCCCTTGCGTCTGAGCCGGAGAAGGGGTTCCTTCCACAAGCGCTCTTCCCGCTGCCTCTCTGCTGGCAGATATCTCACCACCAAGGAGCAGTTCCACGAATTCCTGGAAGCCAAGGGGCAGGAGAAGCCCAGCCAGGGAGTCGAGGCAGGAGACCCTGGTGGCAATGACCTGGCCGAACCTGAGGCCAAGCGCATCCGACTGGAGGATGGGGAGGCGGCCGAACCCGGGGACAAGCCGAAGGTTCAGAAGAGAGCCCGGGGCCAGAACAAGGGCCGGCCCCACATGAAACCCACCCACTACGACAAGAATAGGCTCTGCCCCTCCCTGGTCCAGGTGAGTGTAATTGTTGCTTGAAAGTCCTCGAGACCTTCCGTCTGAGCCTCTCGGCTCCCCATTCAATCCTCCGGAAGCTGGGACATTAAGTGTTGTTGTCCCCATCTTGTTTCTGAGTAAACTCAGGCTTGATGGGTTCCTGACTTGCCCCGGGACACCCACCAGGAGGGGAGGGCCTCTCACCCAGGCTGCCTGGCTGGCCCGGCGTGCCCCCATCCTTCCTCGTAGCCTCTTGGTTCCCACGCAGGAATCAGCAGCAAAGTGTTTGTTTGGTGACCGCTGCCGCTTCCTGCACGACGTGGGCTGCTACCTGGAGACCAAGCCTTCGGACCTGGGCCCCCGCTGTGTGCTTTTTGAGACCTTTGGCAGGTGCCCCTATGGCGTGACCTGCCGCTTCGCCGGGGCCCATTTGGGACCCGAAGGCCAGAACCTCGTGCGGGAAGAGCGGGTCCAGGTCCCGCTGGTCCGGAACGGCCTGGACAAGGCCCTGCAGCAGCAGCTGCGAAAGCGCAAGGTCCGCTTCGAGCGCGCCGAGCAGGCCCTCCGCCAGCTGAGCAAGGGCCACCTGCCAGGCCCCTCCCCAGAGGCCGCGGTCCCTGACATCTCGAGGGCTGAAGGTGCCCCTGGACAGGACAGCGGTGACACCCAGCAGGCCCTCCTGGAGCCAGGCACTGATGCCCCAGCCAGCGCCTCGGAGCGGACCTGTGGACCCCTGACAGATGAGGATATAGTCCGGCTGCGGCCTTGTGAGAAGAGAAAGGTACATGTTCGGGGCTTCCTGCTGAGGGTGCTGGGAGCGTGGGGGCAGAAGGAGCCAGACACACACCCCCAGCCCCAGAGAGTCGGGGCTGGCGGGTAGGGAAAGGAGGAGGGAGGGGAAGACTTCCTGGAAGAAGGGGCATCAGGCCTGCGGTTTTGACGGTTGAGCAGAGACTGCAGCAGAGTGAAGACGGGAACAGAATGGTCTTCGCACAGGGATCCATTGACTCGTGCGGAGGCCCAGAGGAGGACTGCGGGTGGGGTGGGGAGCAGGGAGCTGCAGAGGCCTGGCGAGCTCCCCTGGGTTTTGTTTTGCTGCAGCTGGACCTCAGCGGCAAGCTGTACCTGGCCCCCCTCACCACGGTAGGTCAGCCCGGCAGGGCCCTGTGTCTGCCCATCTGGTGGGTTTTGGGGCTGCGATCGGCATCCGGGCTTCCTGCCTGCTGCCCCTCACATGTGCCCATGGCCCCCGCTGCCCCCAGTGTGGGAACCTCCCCTTCCGGCGGATCTGCAAACGCTTCGGGGCTGACGTGACGTGTGGGGAGATGGCCGTGTGCACCAGCCTGCTGCAGGGCCAGACGTCCGAGTGGGCCCTGCTCAGACGCCACCCCTGTGAGGATGTCTTCGGCGTGCAGGTCAGTGCCGCCCCAAGGGGAGGGAGGCGGGAAGGACAGAGGGGCTCTCGGCGGGCTGCCTCGCTCTGGGGCAGGTTTGGGGTTGGATCTCCCTGACCGCAGGCCTGATTCAGTCACTCCCAGACCCCTCTTGCCTCAGCCGTGGGCTCAAGGGCTGACCCCATGCCCCTTTGCGGGTTGGTGAGACAGGGCCCCTGGCTGGATCCCCACGGTGGGCAGGGCCAGCCTGGGCCAGCCCCTCACTCCCTGCTCTGCCCCCGGCCGCAGCTTGAGGGCGCCTTCCCTGACACCATGACCAAGTGCGCCGAGCTGCTCAACCGCACCGTGGACGTGGACTTCGTAGACGTCAACGTCGGGTGCCCCATCGACCTCGTGTATAAGAAGGTAGTAGCTGCACAGCCCTGGATTTCCATGGTGTGGGGGGGGATGGGAACCTGGGACCCGGCCTTGCTTTTGCCTGAGTGTCTGGGGGACCCATGGGCGCTGCTGCGCCTTGGTTCCCCCCATTTGGCTGGCGCAGGCAGAGAAGGGTGGCAGGCCCAGCTCGCATTCTGCTGTCCCTTGCTCCAGCCCCCCATCTCTCCCAGGGCGGGGGCTGTGCCCTCATGAACCGCACGGCCAAGTTCCAGCAGATCGTCCGCGGCATGAACCAGGTACGCCCTCTGCCGCCCCCCCCCCCCCCGCCCCCCGCCCCAGCCGGCCCAGGTCCCTCTGACCGCTACCGCCCTCCCCGCAGGTGCTGGACGTGCCGCTGACCGTGAAGATCCGCACCGGCGTCCAGGAGCGCATGAACCTGGCCCACCGCTTGCTCCCTGAGTTGCGGGACTGGGGCGCGGCCCTGGTCACGGTGGGTCTCGGGTCTCCGGAGGGCATGGGGGCCCCCACCGGAGCGCGGTGGGCGGACCTTCCTAACGGTCTCTCTCTCCCCGTTCCTTCCTCCTGCTCTCTGGCTCTCCCTCCATCTCTGTCTCCGTCTGTCTCTTCATCTCTCTGTCTCTCTCTCTCAGCCTGTCCCTCTTGATGTCTCTGGGTCTCTCTCTCTGTGTCTGATCCTCCGCCCCCCGGACCGGCTCTCCCTCCCCGTGCGTGGCTTCTCCTTCAGCTCCACGGCCGCTCCCGGGAGCAGCGCTACACCAAGCTGGCCGACTGGGGGTACATCGCGCAGTGTGTGACGGCAGCCAGCCCCATGCCGCTGTTCGGTGGGTCCCCCGCCCCTGCCTGGGACCCTGCCCTGCCCCCGTGGGCATGACTGGGCTGCCGGAAGCTCCCCCAGAGCTCCTGCCTGCCCCCGGCTCCCTGAGACCCCACCTCTGTCCCTCAGGAAACGGGGACATCTTGTCATACGAGGATGCCAACCGTGCCATGCAGACTGGCGTCGCGGGGGTGATGATCGCTCGGTAAGGGTGCTCTGTGCCTGAGGGGCTGCGAAGAACCGGCCGGAGCCGCCCCCTGCTTCCCTCCCCTCCTCCCTGCTCAGTGTAGCTGGCAGGTGGCTCTGCCGGGGCGGGGGGGGGGGCGGGCAGCAGACATCTGTGCTCTCGGGTGTTGGAACTCTTAGGCTTTGAAGGTTGGCTGAGCCTGGCGGAGAGGCAGGGCCCCGGAGCCCTCCAGACCACCACTCCCTACCCCACTCCCAGGGGTGCCCTGTTGAAGCCGTGGCTGTTCACGGAGATCAAGGAGCAGCGGCACTGGGACATCTCGTCCTCCGAGCGCCTGGCCATCCTGCAGGACTTCACACGTTACGGCCTGGAGCACTGGGGCTCGGACACGCAGGGCGTGGAGAAGACCCGCCGTTTCCTTCTTGAGTGGCTGTCCTTCCTGTGCCGGTGGGTGCAGGGCCACGTGCGGACTGGGGGGTCCTGTCGGGGGGGCCAGCCTGGCCTCACCCGTGCGCACCACCTGCAGGTACGTGCCCGTGGGCCTCCTGGAGCGGCTCCCACAGAGGATCAATGAGCGGCCGCCCTACTACCTGGGCCGCGACTACCTGGAGACGCTCATGGCCAGCCAGAAGGCGGCCGACTGGATCCGGATCAGGTGCCAGGAAAGCGAGGCGCTGGGCTGTGGGAGGCCGAGGGGCCCCTGGGCCACAGGCCTGACCCCGCCCTGTGCCCTCTTCACAGTGAGATGCTGCTGGGACCCGTGCCGCCCAACTTCGTCTTTCTGCCGAAGCATAAGGCCAATGCGTACAAGTAGCCGCGGGCTGGGGAGGGCGTCGGACGGCCCAGTGGGGCCCCCTGCTGCATGAGAAGACAATAAATCTTATTCTTTTAAAACCCAGGCCTTTCTGTGACCCCAAGGCTTCCCCGTCCCACTCTGGGGTTTTGTCTCAATGCAGGGCTGACCCTCTCCCCAGCACGCACTTGTCCTTTCTCATTGACAAGAGTCTCCTAGTCGCCCCTATGGGCCCAGCCCTGTGCTGGCCACCACGGCTCCCCAGAGCGGCTTTACCCACCAAGAAAGCGCTAGGCACTCACGAGCCAGGGGCCTCGGCCTACGCAGGTGTGAATCAGGGTGGGCTACCTGAAGGAAGGAGCCCTAGAGATGCCCAGAGCATGGAGGCAAAGGCAGAAGGCAGCAGCCGGAGTTCGGGGTCTGCCCCGCTTTTTGTGAGGTCGGTCTCTGACTGCCTTGGTTTCTCCATCTGCCCCTGCCCCCCCACCCCCCGATACCCGGAATCCCGACCAGTGGGCGGGCCACAGCCTGGAACCCGCTGCCCAGAGTAACCAGGCAAACAGAACTCGGCAGGACTGAGCCTGCTGTCCGGGCGGGCTGCCTGTGCTCCCGCCTGCTGCCCCCCAGGCCTGCCCAGACTGGCCCCCCTGCCTCCCCATGCAGCACCCCAAACCCTTCTATGCGCCTACAGCTCCCCAAGAAGGCTTCAGCCCCCGGGGCCTGGATGGCACCGAGGGGTCAGGCAGCCAGCCTGCTCCCACCTGCACGGAGCCTCTTCCTGCTGTGGGTACGAGTCAGAGGCTGTCGGGGTCCCCAAGGGGGTGGGGGACCAGGGCTCAGGACCCTGCCCAGCCACCTGCTTTTGTCCACAGGCTCCTCCAACCTCTATCAGCCCCCAAACCTGGAGAAAGAGGTGTTTCCAGGCCCTCCGGCAGGTACCAGCCTCCCCCCAACCCTTGATGAGGATTCGGGGGTGGGCTGGAGGGGTCGGGGCCTGTCCTGCCCATGCCCCTGGCCCTAGGTGGCCGCCAAAAGGTAAGGCCTATGTCTCTGGTCCCTCAAGTAGGCCTTCAGGGGCAAAGCCTATGCCCATCGTTCCCCGGACAGGTCCCCAAAACAATACCCGGGTTCCCGACTCCCAGATGTGTCCCCAAAAGCGGGATCTCTGTCCCCATTCCTCAGATGGACCCCCAGGCCAGGTGTCTATCCCCTGTCCCACAGATGGGCCCCCGGGGTTTGGGCTCTGCCCCTCCCCTCCTCTAGCCTGTACTCCTTGCCCCAGGTGGGTCTCAGAGCTCCTCTCAGGGCTGCCCCTCCCTGGCCTGCAGGTTTCCAGATGGCACCCTGCGGGTGCTTCTTTGACCCCCGCATCTACCGAATCGAGTGGGCCACCACCGACTTCGGCCAGTCGTCCCTGTACAAGCTAACGGCAGTGGGCGGTGGGGGACCCCCCGGGGGTCCGGCTGGGGGTCCCGCCTCTCCAGGCACCTACCTCCTAGAGCCCCAGCACTACCTCAAGGCCCCCATGCCGGCCCCACCGCCCCCGCCGTACCCGCACTACCAGCCGCTGCCTGGGGGCCCCCAGTACCTCATGCCCTACTTCCCCCCCGAGGGGCCTGGGCCAGAGGCTCTGGGCTTTGTGGGCGACGGGGGGCCCCCTGCCTACATGGAACTGCCCCCGCCCCTGCTCAAGGAAGGCCTGGGGCCAGCCGTGCCGCCACCCCCGGCCCCGCCCCCACCCCCTGTCCCCAAGGAGAACAAGCTGCCTCCCCTGCTCATCACGCTCCCCACGGAGGCCGCGATGCCCCCTGGCGCCTACGGCCACCTCAGGGGCCGCCTCAGTCAGTTCCACGGGCCCAGCGAGCCGCTGGCCTTCCCCTCCAAGGAGCTGCCAGGTGGTGGCGCTGGGCCGGCCCTACTGTACCCGCCGGGCCCCGGGGAGCCCAAGGTGGCGGAGGCGGAGGCCGCCCCCCTGGGGGCAGGTGAGGCCAGGACCCCCGAGGCAGCCAGGGCCTTCGTGCTGCCTGAGAAGGTGCTTCTGGAAGACGCCATGAAGCTCTTCGACTGCTTGCCGGGCAACGCTGAGCCCGAGGGGTCCCCACGCAAGGCCCCTGGGCCAGCCCTGCCGGACAGCGGGGGCGGCGGGGACGACTCATCCAGCGACATCCGCTCGCTGCACCTGCCGGACGAACTGCTGTCCTTTGACTACAGTGTGCCTGAGATCCTGGACACCGTGTCTAACGTGGACTACTTCTTCAACTTCAAGGCCTTGGATGAGGAGCCGCCACCCCGCCCGGGGCCCCCTGTCGCCAACACCGCGGCCCCCGCGGCACGACCCGAGCTGCCTGGCAAGAGGAAGGCCGGCACCTCGTCCGCCAAGAAGGGCAGGCAGGGGGGCAAGGGCAAGCATGCTGCGGGCCCGGCCAGTGTCGCCCCCTCAGGGCCCAGGCCGGACCTGGGAGCCGCCCCCCATTAAAATGGATTTGACCTCTCAGCTCAAACGGTCAGCTTGGCGGCGCCAGGGCCTGGGGCAGCGGGCCCGGGGTCACATGGGAAGGCCCAGCAGGCCCACAGCACCTCCCGGGTGAGCCGGGCGGCCCTACCATCCCGAGGAGTCCTGAATCCCTCCTGTCCACGCCCCAGAAAGTTGGGAGTCCGCCAGCAGAGATGGAGAAGGGGTGCTTCTGCAAGGGGGGAGGCGCTGTCCGGACGGCACTCTAGGGATCTTTCGCCCAGGTGTTTGGTGGGGAAAGGGTTGCTGGAGAGGGCCAGGAAGTGGCCTGGGGATGAGGCCTACCCTCCCCCACACCCCTACCCCAACCTGCTTCTCTCCCCCTGCAGAAGACCAAGGGGCCCTCCCGCCCCAGGCCCTGGGCTGGGTCCCTGGGGCCTTCGTGCTCAGACTCTGCTGGGGTAGAGCCCCGGGGGTGGCTGGGTGTGGGGTGGCAGAGTCGGTAGCTGGAACCCGGGACTTTCTGTCTGCCGAGCACTGTGCCAGGAGCCTGCTGGGCTCCCCTCATCGCGCCCTCATTCCAGAGCTCCGGAGAGACGGCAGCAGTCTGCCCCGCCCGGCCCTGTTCTGTGCCCGGCTAAGGGAGCCTGGAGCCCGCTGCCCTTCAGTTCCTGCCGAGCGCCCCTCTCCCCGCGGCCACGTTCGGGGAATTTTTGAGATTAAAGCCAAGTGCGCTTGACAAAGGGAAGGCCCTGGCAAAAGACGTTGGCAAATGGGCTTGGTTTCCTCGAAGGTCAATGCGAACGTTAGCGCTTGGCCTAACATGGAGAGTGGCCGCCGTCATGCTCACCGGGCAGGGTGGGCTCCCTGCACCGTCAAGGTCACGCTTCCACGACCCGACTGAGATGGGACTGGGCCACGAGGCGGACCGTGGAATATACTCGCTGAACCTCAGAAGAATCAGGAAACTCACAGGACCACCCAAGTTCTTCCTTGGGATGAGCTGGCCGTCCGTGCCACCAGGGAGTCAGAGTGAGGTGGTGGGAGGGGAGGGAACCCCCCTGGAGGGCTAGGGAGAGTGCACACGGCTGTGTACATTGTGTATACGTGCACACGCGTGCGTAGACACGTGCGTGTTTGTGTATACATGCTGTGTGTGCAGGTCTGTGTATCTGAGATATGTAGACACATACACGCGTGTTCATGTCCTGGGTAAACACGTGTGACTGTACACACGTTAGGGATGCACGCACACACATGTATCCACACCGCCAAACACCTGTGTGTGTGTGTCCCTGCACACTATGCCTGTGCGCCTTGCCCAGGCACACCCGTGTACATGTGTGCGCGGGCATGCCTGCGTCTATGCCGTAGGCACTTGTCCGTACATGTGCGCACACATGAAATCATGCTTCCAAACATTCCTCCGGGGACACAGCAGAGCACACACATGCGTGTTTGTATACACGGGAGGGTTTATGCCCCAGAAACGGACTCCCAGCAGTTGCTGCCTCCTCCAGACTCCCCCGTCCCCCTCTAACGGGCCACAGGGCTACGTCAGGTCTTTCAAGGGACCACCTCTCTCTCCGTGGGGTGCTCCGCTCCCTCACCTCCCCCGCGTCCCGTCAAGGGTCTGGGCTACCCCACTCCCGGCGCAGGTGCCGCAGGGCAGGGGAGCTGCGACAGGAGGATGGAAGGTGGTCGGGGGAGGACACAACACGCTCCAAACACGCGGCACGAACACCGCCACCAGCCGCTTTATAGAACGCTTTAAGGCCACACGGGGCTTCCCCGGTGCACTTAGCACCTGCCTCGGAAACACGCACAGGCCTTTCGGCACCTCCTGCACAGATGAATCCAGAAGCCCTTGAACTTGAGGCCCTTCTCCGTGTGCAGCAGTTTGGGGATGGCGTAGGCCAGCCACACGGACAGCAGCATGACCACCACGAGCGGGATGATCGTGACCGCCGCCAGGATGACAGACGGGGGGAAGGCGCCATACACGTAGATGCTGAAGGTGGTCTCCAAGTGACAGTAGCTGCAAGGGGCGGGTGGAGAGAGGCCATGGGGCGTTGTCCCATGGGGCCCTGCCCTTCGCCCCACTGAACGTGCTAAAACCCACAGAAAGGAGTCCTGGGCCCCGGGTGCTGAGCTGGGACGCCTGGTTCCACTTCCATCCACTTCAGCTCTTCTCCAGGCTGAGTCTGCCGTCCTCTCTCTGCCGGCAACAATCCTGTCCCCCCCCCCCCCCCGGGTTTCCTGTGGTCCCCTCCTCCTCCGGGGACCAGTTGTCTCCCTGACTCCATGTCCACACTCAGTCTAGAGAGGCAAACTAACCATCCCGTTCCTGGGTGGAAGCAGAGGGCGGGCGTGATGGGGCCACAGGTGTGCACGAGGCGGGCAGGGAGTGCCAGGGTGCGGCAGGCCGGGAGGGAAGGGCACCCCAGGAGACGGGACCCAGGGTAAAGGAGAACTTGCTGGACCCACAGTGCGGACAGAGGAGCAGATGGGACCAAAGGCAGTCCTGTCTCTCTAGATACACCACCCCGTCCTCCCGCCCGTTGGCCATCCCAGAGCTGGCCCCCTGGATCAAGGCACGGGGTCTCAAGGCAAGTTCTCCATGTACTTTGGGGAGTGGAGTTCCTATCTGTCTAGAGAGGTTAGTTGATGGGGGGAAAGGATATTGTCCCGTACGCACGCCCACAGTGGGAGATGTTGGCAACCTAGGCCAGCACACCTAGAAACCTCTTCGCACACGTGGGTAGTAAATATTCAACAACCAGCTCTAAGGGGAAAGGCAGAATTTGTAGGGTGTGCCGAATCCCATGGTGTAAATTCTCTCACCGTGGCTGATTCCAGGCAACCAAGGGAAAGGCAATTGGCTTGCGAGATCCCTGGAGATTTAAGGGTCTGCACGTGCACTCCACCCATGAGATGGGGCTTGAGAGGGGCGTGGCCGCCCGCCATTGCTGCCCCCGCCCCCCGGAACCCAGCGTGGGCTCTGAGTAAGGACTTATTTAGGGAGTGAACAAATGTCATCTAGAACTTCGGATGCCACTCTTCCCAGGGACAGTCTGAGCTGCTGGGAACATTGATGTTTATCCAGGACACGCCCAGGGGAGAGAGAAAAGTGGGTCCCTCACCTGTGTGTGACCCTCCCCGGGAGAGCCAGTCATCCCCCCCTAGAGGTCCCTGGCATGGAGTGATTCACCCCAGCTCACCTGTAGTACGGATCCACGATAGAAATGTAGAAAACGTAGATTCCATTCCTCTGGTCAAAAATAACCTTGTTTGCCGTCGGGCCTCCCAGGATCTGATACGGGACGTTTGGCCATCTCAAGGGGACTTCGTTGTCAGGGTCATGGCAGCTCACATAGTTCTGGGGAGAAGGACAGAGGCATGCCCACTAGCTCCGGGGGCTGGGGAGGGCCAGGCCCGTGCCCACAGATGTACCCCCACTGCAGGCTGCGCCCCACCTGCAACACTGCTCACTGAGCACCCATGGGGGCGAGTCCAGGGCCAAGTGCCTGATGGGCGGGTGGTGCGTGACCTTGGAGGGACACTGTGGGTGGCTGCTCAGCCTTTATCCTGCCCTCCTGTGTCCAGGCCTTGAACCCCCGAGTCTGGGTGTGAATCAGATGCCTCCATTTCACGTACTCTTGGTGTTAGGGCCTGACGTGTTCCCCACATACACACACACACAACGAGCCCACCGCCAATGAAATGCTGGAATCCTGACTCTTAGGGCCTCAGAATGTGACTTTATTCAGAGATGGGGTCTTTTTCAGGTGATCCAGTTAAAATGAGGTTGTTGGGGCGCCTGGGTGGCTCAGTGGGTTAAAGCCTCTGCCTTCGGCTCAGGTCATGATCTCGGGGTCCTGGGATCGAGCCCTGCATTGGGCTCTCTGCACAGCAGGGAGCCTGTTTCCTCCTCCCTCTCTGCCTGCCTTTCTGTCTACTTGTCATCTCTGACTGTCAAATAAATAAATAAAAATCTAAAAAAAAAAAAAAAAAGGTGGCCCTTGAACCAACAAGTTTCGTGTCCTTATAAAAAGGGGAAATTTGGACCCAGACATGCCTGGGGAGAACATCATGTGTAGACACAGGCAGAAATCAGGGTGTGTGTCTACAAGCCCAAGAACACCGGAGATGACCAGGAAACCACCAGAGGGTGTGAGAGCCTGGAACAGATTCTCATTCACCCTTAGAAGGAACCGACCCTGGCAACACCTTGATCTCAGACTTCGGCGTCCAGAACTGGGAAAGGATCCATCTCTGGCATTGAAACTACCTGGTGTGTGGTGTTTTTGTCACAGAAGCCCTAACTTACTGGTGCACCTGGGAAGTCTGAAGGTAGAGAGGGCACAGAGACACATTCCTGGGGCTTCTCACTGGAGCTACTGCCAAGCATGGCCACGGCGTCAAGAAGTGGTCAGGGGGTACCAGCAGCTTCTCGGCCCAGTCTCTGGGGCCCAGGATATTGTACGAAGGGGAAACACCCTTGAACTCAGCTGCTTGCCCTTAACCAGTACATCGTGCTGCCTCCCTGAGCAGAATACTTGGCCCTTCTGCACTATTTGCTGGTGGACCCAGATGGGAGGGAGGCTGGGCTTATAAAAAGCAAAGACAGAAAATGGAAAAGCAAGAAAGTCAAAGTGATGGGGAGCCCAGCAAAGGGTTGGGGTGCCTGGGTGGCTCAGTGGGTTAAGCCTCTGCCTTCGGCTCAAGTCATGATCTCAGGGTCCTGGGATTAGGCCCTGCATTGAGCTCGCTGCTTGGCAGGGAGCCTGCTTCCCCCTCTCTCTCTGCCTGCCTCTCTGCCTACTTGTGATCCCTCTCTTTCTCTCTCTCTGTCAAATAAATAAAATCTTTAAAAAACAAAACAAAACAAAACTGAAGGGCTCCTCTCATATGGCATCAGCAAAAACCCAGAAGACATCACGGACACACCATGGGACTGTTGCAGTGCATTGCAACAAAGGGTTAATCTCTCAGCTCTAGAAAGAGCTCTTGACAAGTGAGCAAAGAAAAGAAG